GTAGCAACAAAAAGCTATTAATTTGAAAATACATAACTATTGCTGAGATCAGACAAGTAAAGAATGCTGGTACTTGAGAGTTCAAAGAGCCGATGACTGTTCTCAAGTCTTACGAGATTTTAAATAAAATAAAATTGCAGATAATAACAGTGTTATTTTGGAATTTGACTGAACTATGGCCACTCCCATTTCTCAAGATGGAAGAAATAACACCAACATCCTAGGAAATTGGAAAGAAACTCGTTCTAGGATCTATGAGCACAAGAGAGAATGGGCCATGCTGATGTGATACCTGATCAATCAATGTGTTTGCATTTTCAGCTGCATTATCTTTGCTCTAGGGTGGGAATTACTGGCAGAGAAATAAGAGGCTAAATAAAAAAAAAAAAATTTATAAGGCGTATTAAAATATATTTTTATATTCCGAAATAGTTCTTTGAGCCCATCTAAGATTCTTTACCAAATTCCAATTAGCTTGGAGTCTTTTTAAAGTATTTATAAGGATGATGTATTTTGCTAATTTTTAGGAAAGCTATCTTCCGGTATTTCTAGAAATCGGACTTTCTACTTTGCAGGTCACCAAGAGCATGTTTTTCTAAGCTTGAAGGTGTTGGGCTGCTTGAGGTTGTTAATCTATTATTAGATAAGCCAGAGTTGAAGAGTGTCATTTTTAATGATCATGAGTAAAATGATGGAGATGTTGAAGAAAATGAATTCGGGACGGTTGAGGATTAAGATAAAGTGCTTTAGTATTTTGTTTTATTTTGCTTAGGAGTACCCGTATCGTATCATATCGTATTTGATTTACGTATCCAAATCCGTGCTTCTTAGGTTTGGCAAGTGACTGTTTACTAGAATGTGGAAAAAAAATATTATAGACTATTTTATTTAGTTAATAAATGCAATTAATGTTGGATATTGGGTTTAATCAACATAAGTAAATTATTTTTCCTTTGAAGAGTAAACTCAAATGAATAATACATCTTAAATTACCTTGAGATCATTGAATTTTGTTTTTAAATCCTTTTCCACAAGGGAAAGATAGTAACCTT